GCGAGAAGGGTTGCAATTCGAGCGACGAGATCTCGGAATCGGATTCCCCGTACCCGAGGCTAAAACTGAACGCCGAGGAGAAGCGTTTGCTGCAAAAAGAAGGGATCACGCTGCCTACTCATTATCCGCTGACGAAACACGAGGAGCGCGAGCTCAAGAGGATCAGGCGCAAGATTCGCAACAAAATCTCCGCCCAGGACTCGCGCAAGAGGAAAAAGGAGTACGTGGACGGATTGGAGGATCGTGTGAAACAGTGCACCGAGGAGAATATGACGCTGCTGAAACGCATCAAGGCGTTACAGTCGCAGAATCAGAGCTTGGCCGGGCAACTGAAGAGGCTGCAGGCACTGTTGCAAAAAGGCAACAAGAGCGCCCAGCCCGCCACTTGTCTGATGGTCTTGTTGCTCTCGTTGGCCCTCGTTGCCGTGCCGAATCTACGGCCACACTCCAATTCGAACAATGAACTCACGCAAGAGCAGGAACAGCCGGAGAAAATGCCGCCGCTGGCTGGTAAGGATCTTGTGTCTTTATATTTCTTTTGTCCGCGGTTAACGAGCAATTGTGTCGTGATTTTTGTTGCTAGATCAATCTGAAAGGATACTTTTGGTTGGAAAATTAAGCCTGCTTAACTAGATGCATTTACTACATTATCGTGCATAAATAATTGGACATTTCTCAGTAAGAGTTTGATACATTTCGAGTTGCGATTGACGAACGTTTTTTTACTGTCAATTTTCTACATTTGCAAATTTCATATTCATTTTTAATAAATAGACGCTTGAATGAATAGACACATTTGATGTCAGATGACTCTGTAGAGTCTTCAGGGATCTATTATTAGAATTGTCATATTAACTATCATTGTTATCAATATCTATTAATTATTAAGATTAAATTAAAGAAATTCATTTGAATTGTATTTTATACTGCAATAATTTAGAAACATCCAACTTATGCACGATTAATATAAGTATATTATTATGAATTTATTTTTTTATATATAGCTAGATCAAATTTCAGTCTTTGTTATAAAATTTATTATTCCGTTAATTACAGTCATTAAAATATATTAATTATTATAATTTCAAGAAAAAAATTATATATTAACGTGGTCTCGTTTTAAAGCATAAAACCTTTACTTTGACGATCCTCAATTTGTTTTTTTCAAAGTTGTTTTTATATCATGTAACGGGCGGGAAAATGAGAATACTTTCCTCTGAAAAATTAGTCATTTACTATGATCTTGAATATTGAATTTTTCTCTTTAGAAACCCCCTAAAACTTGCTGTGCGATTACTTTTCGTCACTTTATTAAATTTTGATTGACGGAAACGTTATGATTTCTTCAATTTCTGTCGTGGAAATCGAACTGACAATTATTTTATCGAGCCCTTATACCTCAAATAGATTAAACCTCGATTCCAAATTTTTGTTGATGATCGAATGCCTTGGGGGCCATGTAACTGGACTTAGAAAACTCCATAGAATTTTATTTCATTAGTCAGCATATACTCAAGAGGAATGTGAATGGTATCGACATGCCCGTCGGATCCTTTCGAACCGTTATATTAGCGGTTATACAGGTTGAATGAATTTGATAGCATGGGCCAGCTTGGGGAACGTTGAACCCTATGAGATCGTGAAAGGCACACTGTCTTGTTAATATTGCATTTTTTCCTTAGCATTGCTTTCATGCACTGTGGTTTGTTGCATCTTGGCCTCGTACGGTCGACTGGCTTTTTACCAGTATAAAAAATTGTACGATGAAATGATTTCTTTCACGTGTTACGTATCTCCTCGTGTATGTCGTATTCCGAAATTTCAATCGTTCGAGAACAAATTTACAGTGAAGAGTATAATCAGTAATTATAGATTTCGCGTAAAATCGTTTCTCATTGACATTAACGTTAAAGTAACACGCTGCGAAGACATTCTGCACGATTAACGCTAAGCTGAAGAATTTTTCCAAGTTCTCAATGTTTTTTATTTGTCTAAATATTGATAAAAAATATTCCACGATTCAGTTATTATTAGTGTCTAATAAAAAAAACTTTCGATCAAACATAAATACTTGAACATTGAAATCTGATGGATATAAAATACTGTTGTATTTGTTTCAAATATATAGAAAACATATATAGAGGAAAATTAAATAAAATTCAAGTTGTTGTGAATTACCTACAACCCAATAATTAAGAGTTAATAATATTTTTGTACGACATCGAAAACTTGAGTCTACGAAAATGAAATAATAACACAATATTAAAAAATTAAATTGCAATCGAAGAGAATGTTAAAGAATTATTCGCATTAGCTCTAACCATCCAAGATGTTTCTATTATCTTTATTTTCTGTGATATTTTAATGTCAATGTTAATAAGAAAAAATTTATACGAAATCTGTGGTAACTAATTCAGTTATGCTCTTCACTGTATTCTGTTTCATTTGTTTCATGGATTTGCAAATCTGCATTCGAAGATTTAATATTTCATCAATGTTTAATTAATGGAGTAAAAAAAATTATGACGAATAGGTATTGATAAGAGAATGACTTTAATTTGTATGACGTGGTTATCGTGAATGTTAATATTTTTATTGAGTATTAGTAATTCTAGTATATAAGATACATGTTAACCAGTATTCATTATCGTAACATATGTTCAAGTAACCTTGAATAATTGAATCGTATTAGATGAATATTTTACATAATCGTTGCTTTGATAACTCTGATAGTTGTTTGAAGCATAGAGAACGTGTAAGATTCTTAAATTTCTTTCTTCTCTTTGGCTTTCTTTTTTATGCTTCGATATCATTCGATGTTCAAATAATTTGATCCGGCAATATAATTTTCATTGCTACATCATCGTATGCTGGAACAGCAGATTCCAATATGCCTCAGGTTATACGACGAAAAAGTAGCAAGGCACGATATATTGTATTTCAAATTACGAAACAGATTTGCTTTATACATTTCGCTCTACGACACAACGAAGCTAATAAATTTTTAATGGTATGATGGCCTCAGTATTGTATATTTGGCGTGTAAATTATTTTTGCCTGTCTTTCTTCTATTCGAGTTCGATTTTTCCATTAAACTTAGCATTCCCTTATATCAGATTCTTAATCTTAAAATTTTTTACCATTATTTTTAGTATTGAATCAAATTTTATTATACATATATGTAAAATAAAAATTACTACATAATAAAATTATGTATATATTTTATATAAATTTTCATAATTTTATTATCTCGGCAATTGTAAGAATTGTCCATTATTGTAAAATTATGAAAATTAAACAATAGAAGTCTCAATTAATGACAATTAATGACTCTTTGATAGAATCTAAATTTCATAACAATTATTAATCCTAATTATACAATTGGAATTTTATTATAGTTATTAGTTTTTTCATTTATAAAAATTTCCTAAATTATAACATTGTTGATCTAACTTATCATTTGTTTAATTACAAATATTTATGATTCACAGAAAACAGCAGAAATCTATAATTGATAGTAAATTCGTGGTTGCTAATCTTAAAATCTTATTTTACAACAATTTTCTAAGTCACAACTTGTCATCATTTGTAAAATTTTACAGAAATCTACAACCTCTTCAATCCATTAATACTATTATCTACCAAATCGCTATCAAAGAAAGCTTTTGTCACTCCAAGAAATGATAAACCGTGATAAAGAGACAGACACGATGTTTCGAAATAAATACACATGGGATCGACATTAACAACCGGTATGGTGAAACCAGAGCAGGGTACGAGATTGAGAAGTTGTTCAGCTACTTTCTAAACGAGGGCAAGAAAGCTCAAGTCCTTTCTCGATGCCAGAACCGAACGAATTCTTTCTCTTCATCGAATTGTAACCTTCTTTTGAGTACTTTCTCAACACATCCATTCACTCCATTGTACAGTGATTTGCAAACTCGTTTCTCGCGATCAAAAGCCAATTTTTCAAGTTCAATGCAGTGAAACAACATTTCGTAAGGTGGGGCGACCCTTCAAAGCTTCAAAAATCTAAAATATTATTCGCTTCAAATAGCTCTGTAATCAGATACAAGATTTTAAAGATTATAAAGATTTTAATCATATTATTCTCATTAATTATATTATTTATCGTATTTTAATTATATTGGTTGCATTAATCATATTTTTGTAGAAAAATGTGAAAGTAATTTTTATATTTGTACATATATAGGGTGTCTTACTTACGTAGATATCGAATTATAGTTTAGAAGAGATATTTTAAATATAAATTTGTCCTTGGTATAAAAGCATCGTCAGGTAGTGTCATTGACTTTCGTTAAAATTCAAAAGTATCTGAGAATCGCTGGTTTATACGTGGACTGACTTGTAATCAGTTCCTCGAGTTGATTATGAAACCAGCTACCTGATCGAACTATCTAAATCAAATTCTAGATACAATGTTCATGGTTATTCACGTCATAAGTTTTTATCGGCGATAATTACTTTCCATGAATAATACTAGCAAGCTTGTAAATACGATAATTGTAGTTTCGAAGCATATATAAAAACACTTAGACGTGAGATCGTGACATTGGAAATTCCACAGTTTATTTCGATATTAGAGATTTATCATTTTTAAGAACAAGAACTAATGCAAGTTTAAATTTTGCAATTTTGAAATTTTATTTTTATATTTATTTTTTTCAACACTCTGGTTTTATAATATTGTTCATTATGAATTTTTTACCTTAAAGCTCTGTGATATTTGTTATTATACAATCTTTAATCTTAATATTTTATTGTTATAATATTCATTATTACGAAACTTCTAATCTCAAACCTTTTTTATAATATTCGTTATTTAAAAAATTTCTAATCTCAGTATTCTATTTGTATAATATTTAATTTATTTGTATAATATTTCTAATCTCAGTATTCTATTTGTATAATATCTATGGTCATAAAATTTCTAATCTCAGTGCTCTATTTCTATATTCATTATATATTATTCATTATCATAAATTTTCAACTTCAAAGCTGCATCTTTATATTCACATTCGAAATATTTATTTATTTATTTATTTATTTCAGGTCGTTCACGAACCTTACTCTACACGAAGCAGTTGATGGACGAGGAACTGCAGCAATACAGTGAGGAGTTGCTGCAGGAAGTCGAGGGCCTTCTGGATCACGATTACAGCCCAACAATTCAGCCACCCCTCTACAAACGTCCTCGCATGGACACGGAATCACCGCCAAAGTGCGTCTCGTCTTCCGATCACATCGGAGGGACGCTCTGCGGAAGACAGGAAGTCACGATGAAACCGAGCAGGAAGTACATTGAACCTCCGTTGGACGACGTTTGGCCTCCACCGAATCCAGGCGGGCAAAAGAGCGCCAAGGTGGTGGACAAGCTCGAGGTATTGACTAACGAGCTGAAGATTAACATCTCTGATTCAGAAGGCACGAGAACTGTCCTCCTAAAAGTGCCTCAAGAACAGTAGAAGAAGAAGAGCCAGTTTCGTTCTCGAGACTCTCAAGAACGTTATATTTTTCTATCATTTTTGTCGTAACCCTTTACGATCGGATTTATCTATATTTGATATGGTACTTCCTGCGGAGAAAGAAGGAATTAGAGATCACAAAGAAAAAAAAAAACGGACCATTAAAAATTCTTTTGAGTATTATTGAAAATGACTGACACGTCGCAAATTCTACAGTCTTGCAATAGGAGGCTGATAATGATTGAAAATATCTTTTATTTGAGCTTATGCATTTTCTTCTAGTTAGTTGTATCAGTGTCTTTTAAATGTGAAATCGTGAAGGGTTCAGATATAGACTAGCATGAGCTTCTTCCTATGAGAGGCGTATTATAAGGCAGAATAGAGAATTCAATAAGGTGTCTCGTACTTTTTAATTAATTTTTCCGCGTGAATATTTGATAGAGTCTAATAAGACTGCGGATTTTTATGGGTTTATTATTGAAGTTTATATGATAAGATGTACCGAATGCGTGCAATATTATACAAAATTGTATAAAATAACTAAAACAGAGAAATTGTTATAATTTTTAGTATAAGACGAATCTCTATTCAAACTTTATTTCGTTAACTGTGTCCATGAAAATTTGCATAAAAATCCGCAGTCTACCAACTGCGGATTCGTTCAACTAGCATATTTTAAATCTCTAACCACCTAGGTTAGAAAAATTTCATTCATAGCTGTAAGATTAAATTCTTTCGAGTCACTCTTTTGGCTTCGTGTGTTTTTGACGAAGCTACTTTTTACTCACTGATATCTCACGTACAGATTATCGAACGAATTTCACTAATTGGATTTAATCTCATCGTTCATTTCGTCCATTATAGTCAACTGCACACCATCATCGATCGTCTTTGGGTGATTTTGCAAGAGTTTTTATCGATTGAACGATATTTAAGATTTATCTATTTATAAAAATTTATTATTATGAGAGTTTTACAGTTATTATTCATGTTGTCGATGATAAGAGAGAAAGAGAGATTTGTAAATAGTTATTATATGAATCATCGGAACGACATTGAAAGATATATATTATAATTATTATAATAATTATTATTATTATTAAATATATATTATAAAAGAAATATATTGTAGCTTTAACTTTACAAGGTACGATTTCTAATTCTGTACTACTGTACGGCGAAAGATGCTATTTACGGAAGTAGATAAATTGTAAGTACTCGTTGATAAAAAATTTGATAAAAAATACACGCATAACAAGTGTGTAGCATGTATGTTTCCATCTTATAGGTCGTGTGATAGATACGATTATTCGTTTCATCGTACACTTCTTGGGGGCTAGGGTATCGCAGTGTTTGATAATTAATTTAATATTATATTTTACAGAAGCTTGCAGAAATGCACTTGCTACGCGAGCCGCGAACAGAACGTATTTAAATAAACTGCGTGTTATCGACACCAGGTCCGAAGACTGTATTTATAAATTTAGTCGCATCCTGATATATACAGGATGCCCTTATTTTTTCTGGCATAACTTTGCCAGTAAATTCTATGAGTAAAAATAAAAAAAAAGGAAGTGTTTTCGTTAACTATAACGAAAGTTCGAAATAAGAGTTGGCGATATTTATCTAAGTTAGTTCAATTCAACTTTCATTTTTACGATATGGGTTTGACATTTATCTAATATTATTCATTTATTACATTTCAAATTTCTAGTTGATAAATGTCTAGTTGACATTTTTTTTTATTTTGATTCATAGAATCCACTGGTAAGGTTATGTCAGAAAAAGTAGGAATATCCCGTATATTTCTTATTCTTTCTTCAAATTTGACGCATACACCTCGCCTTTTTATTTAAAAGTTCTTTTCTTCATATCTTTTAATTAAGTTATTAGTCTTTATTTTTATATGCGTGACGTGTGACACGGGTACGCATATACGAATTGTAAATAATAAATACACGACACAAGAGTAACGTTTGTTTCGTAGTTCGTACTTATACATTAATTGTCTCTTTCTCTCCGACGAAATTCCTGGTAGAAAGCAACCGCGCATACGGAACAATAATAAATGGATAATATGGAAACGAAAAATGGGGCTCTTTTTCTCGCTAGTTGATAGCGAATTAAAAAAAAAATTCTGTCGTTCTTCCAAAGAATTGTAATTCTGTACACATACACGCATATAGAACAATTGTCATCGATAATCGATGCCGAAGCACCGGCCACAATTTTTATTTAGATAAGTTCAACGATACATTCCTACCAGTAATGTCCATTCAAAAATAGAACGATTCTATTTTTGCACGTATGTTAAAAGGGTTAAAGGTATTACACTCTAAATTTCATTCAATATACGTGTAATGACATTAGAAAATAAACTGTTACAATCAGAATAGGTACCGTTCTCTTTCTTCGTTTCTTTCCTTTTCAGAAAGAAAAGATGTCAAATTTTCTTTCGGACTTTTTTTAAAAATTAAGTGTTTGTACAAAAAAATTATAAAAAGTACTTGCGTTAATTCTTGATAGAAAGGAAAGATTTAAATTCACGCCATTTCGTATATATACAAAGTGTCCCATAATTGAAAGTACAACCGAGTAAAATGTGATTCTACATGAAGAAAATTTATTCCTTCTTTTCGACTCATTTTTTCATCCATTGCTATTATATTCTATCATAAATGAGGTATTATCATATATGTGTCATCATATATATAGGTATTTTATTATATTATTTATTATATTCTGTCATAAATGGTGTTCTCAATCAAGGAAATTGTAGGGAACAAGTAAGATGATGAGTATTTTCATCAAAATTTTCATTATCTTTATAAAAAATTGAACAAGCTGTTTGAATTTCCGCGCTTCTGCAACTAGTCCAACTGTGAAAATGAAAATTAACTACAATTAAAATACTGACCTAACCTATGATCACATCTAGTGACTAGTAACTAACCTAACCTATGATCATATCTATTGACTAGTGACATTTCTTTAGGCGCTACATGATTATTGTAGCGTCATCTGGGAAAGAAAAAATTGTGATAGGTAACAATGGAAATGTAATCTTTAAAGTTTGTAATTTATGGCCTCTTATCCCGCCAGAACCTATATAAAGTGAAGTGTTTCAAATATTGAAAAAGTTCGTAACAGTTTGAGAAAATTTTTACTTATCAAGTTTCTTAAAATGGAACAGTTAGAACATTTGGCAGATCTGCTGCCGACTTATTACGCTAGATTATTTCCCTTTCCCGACTATTATCGTTGGCTCAGTTATGGAAATGGTAATTCCATCACTTTATTTGATATACACAGAATAATTTTTTGATTTCTGCATCGTATTTTTTAGTTGACATAATCATCAAAGTAATTATATTGTTACAGTGAACACATTTATTCACAGAGAATTTTCATTCACTCTCGAAGATGATATCTATCTCCGCTTTCAGTCATTCAAAGGTTTGAAAGAGTTAGAGCTTGAAATAAGAAGGCTTCTTCCTTTCAAGATTGATATAGGAGCAGTATACAATGTCAGGTAACTGTAACAAAAATTAGATCAGATGTTCAATTTTCATCAAATAATTTTTATCTACTTTCTTGTATTTAGCCCAAAAGATTATCACAAGGGAGCAAATTTTATTCCTGTCGAAAGAGAACTAGTTTTTGATATAGATATGACTGATTATGACGATGTAAGAACATGTTGCAGCAATGCAGATGTCTGTTCCAAGTGTTGGAAATTTATGGTACTAGCTTGCAAAATCTTAGATAGTGCTTTGAGATGTAAGTGTAATTAATAAGTTGTTAAAAATGTATGTATTTGAAATTTGCATTGAATTTCAGTGGATTTTGGATACAAACATATATTGTGGGTATTCTCTGGCAGAAGAGGTATTCATTGTTGGGTATGTGATTCCAGTGCACGCACCTTGACTACCACAGAACGTGGTGCAGTGGCAGAGTATTTGCAAATTATAGAAGGTGGTCAATACATGAGGAAAAAGGTGAATTTACCTGGTGATAAAATACATCATTCCATCAAGTGTGTAACTATTGTATGAATTAAATCTAATTTCAACTTTTTTTTTTTATATACTATTTAAAATAAAATTTTATGTAATATTAGACGTGCACTGGAAATGATAGAGGCTGTTTTTGTTCCATTCTGTGTAGAAGAACAAGATATATTAGGAACAGATGAAAGAATGGAAAATTTTCTGCAGATAATTTCTGATGATGATGACAGACAAGAGTTAAAAGCACTTTTTGGCCAATATAATTCTAGCAAGGACAGATGGAACATATTTGTCAAATATATTCAGAACAAGAAAACCACGGTATTTTATAATATTTACAAAATTCTAATAAAAGTAAGCAAATATAATTTAGTATTGAACATGTGATTTTAGGGAGACAAAAAATGGTACCAGTATCGTCATTTGGTAGAAGAAATAATGCTACAATATGCTTATCCAAGGTTAGATATAGCCGTCAGCAAAGGATTGAACCATCTTTTGAAGTCTCCTTTCTGTATTCATCCAAAAACTGGAAAAGTCTGTATCCCATTCACTGCAAACACCGTGGATAAATTCCAGCCGGACAGTGTTCCAACAATTACAACATTAATCGAAGAAATAAATGAATTCGATTTAAAAGATAAGACTGAACAGGAAACGTACGATTTGAACGCGAAGAAAATAAAAGATTACAAAAAAACTAGTATTAATAAGTCATTGCGTATCTTTCAAGAATTTCTATGGAATCTGAGTAATGAGAGAAAGGAGAGCAGGCTCAAGCAAAATGGTAAATATTCTCTTACATTTTGCACTTAACGGACAATCGCACTTATATTTTTATTGGCAAATTTTTATTTTTCAGACGAGAAAATGGATTTTTAATTAGAACGTATTTATATTTTTTTAAATAAATTAATAAAATTTAAGAATAACAATGTTCCTGGTTTTAATTGAATGATCAATTCACGTTAATTTTCAGAATATTTTGATATAATGTTGCGAAAAAATTTTGAAATATACAAAGTTTATTCAAACCTTTTATTTAACTCAATATCGTTTATTCCAAAATAATTATAAAAGAATACCTATTGCGCTCAGGTCATGTCACGAGATATATCTTCACAAAACATATTTTATAGTTTTAAATACATTTTTCTTCCCTTACTAATTGATTACGACACAAGTTAAGACGATTGCAAATCATAATTGCTAAATTCGTGGAGTAGAAATACAAATTTTGAATTTTGAATTCGAATACACAGACGAGATATATCTAAAACCATTCGGTATTGCTTGCTGAAAATTCGGATTTTGTATCAGGACAATATGAGACTCGAAGAGATAGCACATCACAGCTAGCGGTTCTCCTGAAATGAGATAAACACTGTCCTATAATTAACTACAACTACAATTCAAATTAAAGGAAAGATATTATCATATATACTATAAATTAAAGGAAAGAAATTTTCATTTAAACTGGATTGTAGATTGCGTAGTTCTTAGCTTGATATCATTTTACAAATAATATTCAGAGAAATCGAAATTTGGTTCGCTATAGTAATATTCCAAGATATTGATATTTGGAAAACGATGCCAATTATCAATACCCACCATGTGAGGCTACGCACGAGTCTCATTAGAGTGTATCGTAAATTGGTACTGTTTTATATATTTATCACACGAGTCATGATTTACACTTGTATTGAATTTAAGTATAAAAAAAGAAAACGATCTTCGAAAAATGAGACATAATAGATCAATGACCAATTTAAAACATTGAAATAAATATTTTTCTCTAACAGATTAGTTAAAAGATAAAATTATTTTCCTAATTAAGAAATATACTTAAAGTATCTAATAATATTTAAATAGCAATAGTATTGTTAAACTAATATTATATGTATACGTGCAAAACGATAAAGTATATTACGGTAATTATTATTATAAAGAATTGCAACTATCAATATGTATCATGATCAAGTATTAATCCAACACCAAAGAAACCAAACTATGCAATTTACTGATCGTTAAACTCAGAATTGTAAATTAAGGTTTGGTTGCGTTGGATTTGATTATGTTCAATGCTTCTGAATATCTGTTTCTCAAACTCTCTTCAGTAATGAGCATTTGAACACACAGTCTACAATTTCACTTTTAATTCACTTTCAACACTTTTAATATTTTTTTTTAAATATTAAATAAAGATAAAAATTAGAATATTCAGAAATATTATTTAAGAATTCACTTCTAAAGTTTGGTCGATGTGCGAGCGACAAAAATTCAATTGGCAAAGCTCTTGTCTTCTCGGTGAAGATTATTCTGATATTTCAGTCGTCAGTGATAGCAGAACAGTTGATAATTTTTTTTTTAATATTTGGAAAAACAGTTTCTTCTATTATACCAATCAATAAGTTTATGTACGTGTAAAAATGTACTATTAGTTTAATTCTTCTGGTTCGTTGTTTTATTATATATTTTTCTATTTCTTCGCGCCATCACGTGTTGCGAATATACCGTTTCTTTCACATGAGCACAGCCAAACTTGGCATAAAGACCACAACTCGATATCGAGGAAAAAGAATTCGCAGCAGACTTGAGGACATGATAGATTTATTTAACAGGATTGTATGCACCCATAGAATACTCAATAGCTTGTCTTCAATTCAGATTGTACATAAAAATAACCACGCGTCTTTTCACTTTACAAAAGTAAAATAAATTATTCGATGAAAAGTATTTTAACATAATTAACTGGGACGTAATACTATAAAATAAAAAAACTATATGACACAAATGTAAAACTATATAATATAATATAAATGAAAAATAAATAAGGTAACATTATCAAATGAAAAATATATATAATGTTATGAAATATATAACTAATACCATGTGCAACATTATTAAACTTCTATTTATTGAAAAGCTGTGTAAACTTCGCATAGTCAACATGTTAATAATAAAACAAAATGTTGCGTGAACAACGTTTGAATATTAGTGAATGATTTCTCAGAATAAGTGAATACAAATAGCGGCGAGTTTAAAGGAACTCGAGAGATAAATCCATGCAATCAGTCGTAATCAAATATACTATTAGCCGACTACTAGCCCGGCTCATTCAATTGCTTTCCGCGCGCCGTCTGATAAACCGTCTTGCAATCGGCTTGACAGTTTGCCATTGGCGAGATCGATTGCCAAGATTTCTAAAAAAAAATCACTTTCACCCCGATTGCATTTCTGGCTGAGCCCGTCCACCGTTACTTTTTCTTGTTTCTACGGTGAAATACTGCATCAACGTGCGATGATTCTTTCATTGGCCGCACGAATCCTCCGCTTATTATCAGACTCGACAACAGATTCTTCTGACACGAATCTAATGCGAAGGAAGATCATCATTCGCAGAAACTGCAGCCTGTTTTGCTATCCAATATCTCATTTGGTTAACAAGAATTATATGTTCCTATGTAAATAACATGACGATAGGAAGAGAAAAACGTTACAAGCACATCTCACGATTATTGATGTCAATGTTGATTTTCTCATTTGAATTCATTTTGTGATTAAACAGGGAATTTTAAAATGAACTGAAAGTAGAATATAACGTAAGAGAAAAATATGACAGTTATATTTTTATTTATTTATCTCTATCATCGGATGATGAGATAAAAGATCGAAAAAAAAAAATATATATATATATATATATATAATTGAATATGAAAATAATGTAAAAGAGAAACATGACAGATACATTTTTGTTGATTTTAATATCATTCCACGATTAAACAGAGAATTTTTAAATAACAGAACATCTATATGATCCCTCAAATCCAGAAATATATAAGTTTTTCAAAAATAGCTGACAATTTGATAGAAGATTTATGTATAGATACAACTACACAAAGGCAAAAATTTTGAAGAGGATAAAGAAGCACATATCTAACTTCAAAATCAAACGCAGTCAGTCATAACAGAGTCTACATAAATTTGTGAAATTTAAATATTTAAAGAAAAACAAGGATTTTGAATATTCCGTAGCTACTACTTTAATTATTATTATTTTGAGTTGTACAGATTCTGAGAAAATGATGACATCGAAAGTATAAAATTAGCATAGTTATGTTTATCACAAAACGCGTCCCTGTTATTACTATAATTATAAAGATATAAGAATAAATATTTATTATCTATGGTAATTTTATGTAGATTTTCATGACACTGTTTTCGATTTATTTATAATATACTCTTTAAAAGCATCGTAGGAAATATTGTGAATATTTTTTTAACTGACAAATTAATTAAAATCAAAACAAAATATTTTAAACATTTGAAATTCAACAAATATTTAACAAATAGATTTCTGTGACTGACTCTATAAAGACAGTTTCAACACCATAAGATTGATCGACAACATACTGATTTATATGAAATTATAAAACGTAAAAGACACAACTTATCACACTCTTCCTTTATAATTCTCATAATCGCATATAAATACGATCCTTCCTCCAAAACAAAAAGTAAACGTTCGTCGTCGCGAAATTATCGATGAGTGTTTGCGAAAAGAGATTCATGCTCTTTTGGACGAAAGATACTTGTCCGCGAATTTCAATGATTTCCGGAAATCCCGTTACGTCACGAGAGTGTCGCACACTAACGACTCCGAAAGAAACGATCGCTTTGTCACCGATTCATTCGCACCAGTTCCACAATTCACGAGACGAGACTTTCTCGTTACGATCTCTCGAGCAAAAGAATCGTGGCGATTCAATTACTAGAGGCATTTCATGGTACGTGTTTTTAGCTAGCCAGCAGAAAGAGATCGGCAGAGGAAATAGGTTAATTGTGTTGAAAACGCGGCGGCCGGTCATTACGTTTCCTCTGGATAAAACTAAATAAATTGGGTGTTGCTACAGCGATTCATCTCTCCGCTCTTCCCCGTTATTATTCGCACTTTTTCTACGTTTTCGCCGAAAACAGAGCGGCTCGCATTAACGCTTTCGGAATACGGATATAATCAGCCAACATTTTAAACGAGAGATAACTTCCAAGTGGCAATTTATACCCTCGTTCTTTGACGAAAGCTCGCTTTATTTCCTTTTCATCTGGGATAAAAGATCGTGCAGCACAGTTGTACGAGTTTCACTAAACATTCGTTCAACTGGAACGTTTTCTTCTCTTTCTTTTTGCTGTCTACTATGCTTATATGTGGCTGTTAAATTTACACGCGATGGCCACGCAACTCGTCAATTTCAAATCATTTTAATTTTTAGATCGATTTTAAAATCATTTCTTTCGTCAAAAATTTAAAGAAACAAACAACGAATCATTCAGCTCAGTATTGCGATGGAAAACTGTAATATGAAGAACATGCTTTGAATTCTTCAAAAATTTTGTCGCATCTTTTGATTGTACGTCTGTGGTATAGTGATGTGAAATTTCGCTGTGGCATCGTTCGCTGAATTTCAATGAAAATTATACAGTCTGTATTTCGCTGTATCAGAATATTATACAGCCTGACTCCTGACAAGATAATGGAATTTGAACGGGAGATGTTCCATTCATCAGACCTCTCATCAACTTGTCTCTGAGTCTGAATAACCAGGAACAGGCAGTTGATCAATAATGAAACTGATCTGGAAGAAGAAGTAAGAAGTGTCCAGATATTTTCACGGCGAAACGAAAGATTTTTATAAAAATTTATAAAATGAGTTATTAAAACATTGGAAGAAAGTTATAATGTATGAAGGTTCGTGTTTCGACGAGTAAATTTATTTTCGCTTGAAAGAAGAATTTCTCTAAATATCTAGTATTTTATGGTAAACAACTGTATATATATATACACATATGTATATTATATGATATTATTAGTAAAAATACGCTCGTACGTGTAATTTCTATAATTCTGTCTCTCAACGAAAGTGCACCGACTGGCAGAACCTAAAATCGTGAGAAGTTTCCTTGCGAGATTGGCAGGAAAAAACTGGCAGATTTGTCAGGATGTACAGTAACGAGGTC